GATGCAATTCACAAATGTGCAGCTCCATGTTAATTAAAATGTATAAGAGGAGGAGATGTGTAGGTTGGAGTTGCAGAGATGGGCAACAGAGCAGACTTGACAGGCCGACTGGCCTGTTTCTGAGCACTAGCGTTCTACGAGACTATTCTCTGAACCCAACATGAATTCTTGGATAGAGATCAGGAGCAGCAACCCTGAACGAACGTCTCACTAGGAGGGTAATTACAGCTCCTTTGCGCAATCTTGGCTGAAATAATAAGAATTTAAGAACAGGGGATCCAGTCATTGAGCATGTGTCACCACAGTTCCATCACCCACATGCTACAACCTCCCCTAAATCTGGCTTCCCACCGTAACCCTTCATATTTTTACTCCCCGAGTGTCTATCTACATTAACATCAAATCAGCTAGTTCTCTCTACCCTGATCTTCTGTCTGCCATCGGTTGCTTCAGCCTCCTGTTGGTTGACCCTTGGTTTCCCAGCTCCTCTGTGCAGCCTGTCATGCTGGTTAGAACAAGGCTGTGTGTACAGCTGGACATCGCAGACCATTTCAACATCTGGCGCCTCTCAGACTGCTGATGTGCACTCATTCACACCACATCTTCATTGCTCTCCTTAAAAACACTTCCACCTTTTGGGGGTGACCTGGTTGATGAGGGGACGTGAGAGAGGAGGTGGGGGGCGGTTGGAAGAGACTGAAACACTCGATGACCTTTTTTTGTGTTTTGTTATTAGGAAACTGCTGAATCCCCTTGTGTATTCTATATTAACCAACACCTGAACGTATGAGTGAAAGTGTGATAGTATTGTTATGCGTCATTCGTCCCCTGCTGCATTCTTTGAGCTGAGTCAGATATTACAGTGGTTGTGAGTGAGACAAACACGACTGGTATAAGCATTGCATAACTTGGGAAGGGGGGGTTCACTGGGATGAGTAACTACCGTAAAGAGGATAATGGCCATGTGGGAGTAATTACTTTACCAGTCATTTTATCAAGGGGTTCAGCTAACAGCACTCTTTCACACTTTATAATTGAGATTACTGTCTGGAAATGACTGATGTCCATTATGTGTATTTGGGAGTTGATGTGGGCAGTTTTACAGTGGGTGGCTTGGCCGTGCTGCATGTATGGATGAGGATTTTACATGTCCCCAGTGTGTGATGGGCTTGCACTTAATGCAGCATCTTTTACCTCGGTCGACATCTAAATATGCTTTACAGGGGTGCGTGGATCACTGAGCAAGGTGGGAAACAAAGAGGTAAAGGTTTTATAGAAGGATTTGGAAGCCTGAAAGAGAGGTGTGAGTGGATTTGGGAATGAGTTCCAGAAAGCGAGGAACTTAGTGGCTGAGAGCTTGGGCTGAGGGACGTGCAGCAGGCTGGAGTTTGCGTGTGGAGATTAGGTTGGAGATGATTGCGGAGGTAGGGATGGGACAAGGGGATGGAGAACCTTGAAAGCCAGTGTTAAGCTTGCACTGAAGAACAAACCATGGTGATGTCATCCCCGCAGGTTTATTTAGCAATAATCTGCAGAGCATTTACCAGAATCTATACGTCAGTACAGACATACAGTTCTCTTGAGGTTTAAACCTGTAAATTGGGCAGCTAAGCAATACCGTCACAGCTGTTGCTTACCGGTTGACTTGGAAACGTTGACCATCTTTTAACTACGATTAATCTGCAGTCAACATGTTCTGCATCTGTTCCCCTTCCAGCAGTCCTTTGTGTCACTAGATTTAAACCTATGGACCCTTGCGTTACGGCAGGTCTGGGCTTGATGTTGCCTCAAGTGATCTTGGCTGCAGTCCACCTTCTCTGCCTGCAAACTCGGAAACCTGTTAGCATCTTCAGATCGGTAGCTTGAGATATCGTGCAGAAAATGTCGCACAGAGTCACTGTTGATCTTATTACCGTCTTAGAAAAATGGTGCTGTGTGAGACTAGGATCCGCCGACCATACAAAAGTATAACAATATCCATTTAGAGCCTATTTATCCATCATTTTCGCTGGCATTTCGAGCCAATTCGTTGCGAAATCTAATTTTAGCCCTATTGTTTATCTCAGCCTGATAAGTGCTTTAGGAAACCAGGCAGACAGCTATTGATCCTGTTGTCCTATTGATTTGTAGACCTTAATCCTGTTGCTCCTGAGAATGAAAGGAGATTTCTGTCCTTATCTTTTGTTGCGTCAGCCCATCACTGTCTCTTGGAGAAAGCCTGGGAGATTAAGAGCTCGGTCGGCAAAGCCAATTTTCCACAACAGATTCTTCAGGCAGAAACACAACAAGTTGATGGTTCTGCGGTTGTTAAGCGGGTGCAGGAGTTGTACGGTGTGCAAGAGCTGACAAGAAACATGGAATTTAGCATTGATTGAAATTGTACGAGGTACGCAGAGTGATAAGGCACGGAAACGGGCCAGTCGCCCCCGCCAGTCCATGGCAGTATTTATACTCCACAGAAGCCTCCACCCCTCTTATTTCCCTCTCATATACTCCTCCATTCCCTTCTCTCTTATGTATGCAAGTTACACAAGCCGTGAGAGATAGGTGGGGTGGTGGAAGGGAAGCAACAGTAAGCATAATAATAATAAATCCTTACATTCGATACAGCGCCTTATCACATCGTTGATACGTCTCAAAGTGCTTCACAGAATAATCTGTAAAGTGGATTGACTATATTTTGTGGGCCAAACGGGGCAGCCAATTTGGGGTTGGATAGTGATGGAGTGAGAGCAGACAGGATGTAATGAAATACATTGGAAGACATTGCTTTTCCCTTTAGTGCAAAGCATGCCTTTTGTTCTACAGCCTTAGGCTTTCCAATTACATAAGGATAAGCACTCCCTCCCTTAGTGGGTACCTCTCGGGTCTTAGCTTTTAAGAGATCTGTTTTTTTGTGAAATTCTGCACGCATTGGGTTAGTACCAAGCCTGCTGGAGGGTAAATTGGTTCCTCTCCTCCAACCCCAGCTCCCCCACCCCGCCCCCCCCCCCGGCCCCTGTTCTTACTGAAGCATTAATGTGTGCAGGAAAGATTGATTCGGAATTTGCATCTAGAATTAATTGTTCTATGATGAACTTGTAATTTTTGGCTCTGAGCCACCCCGACATGAAAACAACCCAAATACAAGAGGAGGTCAGAGCAAGTGGTGGACAAAGCATGATGCAGCCTAGAAACAGCTAGCACTTAACTCTTAGTTTTCAATTGAATTGCACCTTTTCTTAACTTTCAAGGATTGCGCCCTTGACACTGCATTTTATTTAGGGCCATTTGAAAAGGGAAGGAAGTTTGGTGTCTTCCTTGGCTGACAGTCTGCTAGTTAAATTGGTCATTCACTTCATGGCTGTTTGCGGGACCTTGTGTGTGTTAACTGGCCTCTGTGTTTGCCTTCAGTTACTTGACAGCAATTAACTGTGAAGCACTTTGAGAGTTGTCATCGTTCTAGGCACTATATCATATGCAGAAAACAAAAGGCAAAATATTGCAGATGCTGGAAATCAGAAATAAAAACAGAAGTTGCTGGGAACACTCAACAGGTCAGGCAGCATCTATGGAGAGAAGAAAGTGAGTTAACATTTCAAGTCCATGACCTTTTGTCAGAGTTCTGACCACATCAAATGCACGAATGGTTGATTATCATTACTAAATGGCTAACTTCATTGACAATATACAGTATATGTGACCTACTGGCCCTTGGCATGACATGGTATGTTTATTCTTGTGTTGAGGCCGTGAATTTGGTTGTTTCCGCATCTCCTTGACAAAGCTTTCTTATCCCTCAACTGAAACGAAACCCTGAACACCTGCTTGACCAGAGAAAGTAAGGTTTTGACTCATTGAATTGGTCTCTATTTTACCCCACATGGAGCTGTTGTGGTTTTGCACCAGTCTCAGTGCTGCGGGACGCAGCATTAATGTTAAAACAGCAGAAAACACTAACACGCTTAGTTTGTCCAAGCTAGACTTGGTCTCAGACAGATTGCAAGGTGGTTGACTTTCTATTCTTCACAGTCTTTGGTGAGTGAAGATTTGGCAGGGCCTGAAGGAAAAATAAAAGGCTTGGAATTAAATCCCAGAGGTTAAAATTACTATCCACCACAGCGCACAAGAATTCTGGTCATGTTTGAAACCAAACATCCCATCATTCACTAACCTATTCCGGCTGTTATATAAAGGGGATGTAATGCCCAAGGCCCCAGAGACAGGAGAGCAGCACATCCCTGTCTGACTATGAACCCTTAGCTAATTGTCCAGTGTATTCCTGAATTGCACTGTACAGTCGAGCCCTGTTATTACACAGTAAAGTTTCAACTAGCGCTATAACAGGATAAGATTGTTGGTCAGCTCCCCCCCAATACTTTGCCCAGAAAGACAGCCAGCTTCAGTGGCACACAAGAAGCCAAAATGGTCAACTTCTGGGTTCATGAGGTTTCAACTCCCGCCTTGCCCCCTCTTTGCCCGTCTTCACATCGCATCTGAAGTGCCTTCCTCTTCAACCATGTCCGCAGTCATCTCCCCTCTCTCCTTGGCACGGCAACAAGCTATGCCGCTATTAAGCACTCCCGAGATGCTACCTTGTGTGAGGGGCGCCACATAAATCTAAGTTGTTGTTGCTGACGTTACATCTGCGCGCTGGATTGTTTGAGTAAATAAAAGTCGGGGTCCACACGATAAGCAAACTGGGTTCTAGTGTATCTACAAACCGTGTGTGCTCATGGTTATTATTTGGGGAGGATAAGTTTGCAGGGCTATGGTAAGAGCACGGGGGAGTGGGATTCATCTGAATAGCCGGTACAGATATGATGGCCTCCTTCTGTGCTATATAATTCTATGATTTTATGAAGGCAAGAGCTGGGCGCCTTGGGAGGTCCTCCCAACATGAAAGGAGCCAGCTATACAATTGTAATTTGTTGTTGTTGTTGAATGAGGCCTCCTCTCAATGGCCTTCAATGCTTCCAGGGAACACAAGTTGATTTTACTTGTTTCACTTCTTCGTTCAGACCCAGGGTCAGACTTTCAGTTTCCCAGATCTCTTCCCTCAAAAGGATCCAACTCCTGAACCGGGCTCCATGGAAGAAATCCAACAGAAGTTCATGGAGGAAGAGAGGCAGAAGCATATATCAGACCCACGAAGAGGAGACGTCACCAACTGGTTTGGACTTTAAGACAAAACGTTTTGTTTTTCACATCTTAATTTAAGAGGGGGGTGCGGAATGGGAGATTGTTTTGCAGATTGCAGCGGGCCGGTTCTCTCACTAAACGAAGCAGACAACACTTGTGTTTTGAAGGAATTTCAGCCCCGTAAGGTTTAAGACTTCCTCATGCAGTTCACCTCAAGGGCACCCCCCTGTGGACGTTTGTCTATCTTGTGCAATGTTTACTGAGCCAGAGCTGTCCTTCACCAAGTAATTCAAGCGGCCCTTGTCACACAGCGGCCCGAGACAGGTTTGTTACTTCATTTAATTGGTTTCCAGTTATCAGGCGAATCACTGAGGATTGATCAACCAGGATTGAGAGAGCAGCGTTATGTTGGGGCCCTTCAACATAGGAATATATGTGTTCCCTGTTGCCCTCTTCCCGTCCTCTCCCCCCCCCCCCCCGTCCTCAGCCTGGGTTAATCTATTAAAAACGTATACCAAACGTGGTGGGGGGGCAGAGAAAGAATGGCAATAAAGCGTTCTAACCAGGATCATGCCTGCCGTGGAATTTATTGGGTTGCTGTGTACACTGTGTTTTTGATGGAGAGTCAATAAAATGGCATCTAAACTACAAAGTGTAAGTACTTGCCTGCTTTCCAAACGGCCGTCCTGCTCCTCTCTCGTGCCATATTCCAATAGAGTTTTAACTGCCTTAAGCAGGCGGCCCCCTAAAGCCAATTGCCTTGGTTGTCTGCTGCATGCAAGGTTGCCAAAAGACGATTCCTTTCGATAGGCTTCCATTGCCCTCGCTTGTTCCGTACTGTGTGATGGCTGTGCTCCCTCCCTCTCTCTTTTGCTTGCTCGCTCACAGCACTCAGGAAAGCCTAGTGCTTGCTTAAACGGGCGTGTTGAGCTGCCTTCACCGGCCTCTGCCTCCTGGAGGCTTTTCTAAAGTTAGGAAAGCAAGTTCCCGCAGGATCTTTAATTTCCACATTAACAGAAACAGACAGGAGCTCGGTTTAACGTCTCATCCGCAAGGAGGGCAAGTCCGACAATTACAGCGATTTCCCCCCTCCTCCAGCACAGTATTGGAGCGTCATTCTCAACTGTAAAAGAGAGATAGATAAATGGATATTTGGTAAAGGGGTATGGAGAAAAGGCAGGGAAATTAGTTTAAAAGATCTGCCATGGTGTCATAAACTGGGTGAAGCAGGCTCGGAAGTGTTGAATGGCCCCCTGTTTCTATGCTCCTGGTCTGACACGCGTGAGGAACAGTGGAGCGCAGCAGAATGAATCAGGCTTTCAAATGCCGAGTCTGTTTTTGAATATTTAGCTTTCTGAGTTTACCTCTGACTCACGCAGCCGCCCAGTGTATGATTAGATATCAAAGATTCCGAAGCATGTTTCACATTGTTGACATTTTTCACCGCCCGCATTATCCACTGCAGCCTGAATTCCCCACAACCCGTAATTAGGAGCAAAAGGACCAGGGAGTAATTGTGAGGTGATTGATTTGATGGGTTGCCGTGGGAACACGCAAACACACACCAATAGATCATTTTAAAGCTCTTTTCTCATTACAAAGGATTCCCCCTTATCAGTTCTCAATGCTCTGACCACCACAACAACGAGTGAAATGCACCATATGGGTTGCGTTACAGACCTGGGACCTGCAAGGCTACTGACATGTTTTCTGACACCAGACAGCCTCGGTTGATAACCCTTTGAGCCTAGGAACAGTCGGATTTTACAAGGGGAAAATAATGAGCAGAGAAACCGGACTGCTCTCAAAAGACTGCAGGAAAAACAAACTTATTAAAGGGGGAATCTGTAAACATGGTTATAAGGCAGTTAAATAAATCGTTGGGTTTTTAATGAACTCATTGAAGTCACAACTTGGGCAGTCAAGTGAAACTTAATACTGCCGCATGTCAAGAGGGAATCACCTTTGTTTTTTCGAAGATGTGTTAACAAAAACCCTGCTACAACTTGTTGTTGGTTGTGAGGCGAGTGATACCATAATAGCTTACTGAGTGACTTGGGTAATTATTTCCTGTTTTCAAAGTACTGTATTTCCTTCTCGTTTTGGATCTCCTTCAGGTCTCGAAACGTCACTTGCCGGTCAAGGTGAGCGAGGGTGTGTGTGACTCCCAGTTGTTTGTCCTTTCACCAGAGAATGGGGGCTCCCCTATCCCTAGAAGCAAACTAACCTGGGCGTCTGCTCTGCATTCAGTGGCACGACTGAGATTGGGAATTCACTTTGTGGCAAGTGAGTGGGGAGGAGGAGGTCCTACTCCATTCCACAATCAGTATGTTATCTCCCCAGGGTTATTATTACCAATAATAATAATTATTACCAATTATTTTTACCAATAATAATACTTGCATTTGATATAGCGCCTTACCACATCATTGAGACGTCTCGAAGCGTTTCACAGAATATATTGTAAAGTGGATTGACTATTTTGTGGGCGAAACGTGGCAGCCAATTGTGCTCAACAGTGTTCCACAAATAGTCGTGAATTGAGTGTTCCAAATTTTTTTTTTTGAAGGGATTATTACCCCCAGAAAGCGATCCGCCAATCGACTAACGACCGGGTTCCTACTTACTGCTCAGTAAACAAAAGCGTGCGGAGAAAGCAAAGTTGCCTAAGGTTTGCCTAGCCTGGGAATCGAACCCTGGTCCTCTCGCTTATTATTGACCTCTTTCAATTATTGACCATGTGAGAGCTTTCCCCCCCTTCCGACGGTAACCGATGGACTGAGATGACTGGCGTTACCTGCTGCATTGCCTTTGTGACAAAGTTGGTGGCTAGATGTTTAATGTTAGCGGCAATGGTGCTATTAATCAAACTGCATTGAGATTTACTGTAAAGCTAATGCATAGGACGATGGCTGCTCTGTGAGGGATGCGTTGTGTGCTGTCGCTTGGGGCTTTCCCTGTCGAATCCTGCTATCGACCTGATTTATTGCTGATGTCTTTCTTTTAGCTCAAAGTAAGGCGGAGCCAGTAGCGGGCGGAGAGAGCAAAACCCTTCCACCCCCCCCCCCCCCCCGCCCCGAAACCCCCAAAGGAAGAGAAATAAAACTAAAGCCTGCAATCCGTCTGTATGTGGTATATGCAGGTGACCAACATGCCTGAGTAAGCATGTAGCACCCAACCCCCGCGCCCAGCATGGCCTGCACTTGAGATGAATGATCGCTGAGACCTTCAGAAGAAACAAAATGATCACTCGCCATTCCCTCGCCACTTTCAGACCAAGTGACGCTTTTCTACCTCTCTCTGCGGTGAATCCATTTTACCGTGATGCCCTTGTGTTATTCTATGGACCAAATCGCACCATTTATTGTTGTTTCTTTGGCGTACATCTGGGGTGATATTTCCCCAAGCTGAACTGGAAAATTTTTCAACTGAAGCTGAGTGTAATTTTTTCTTAGCTCTCATAACTAGATAGGCAGTATTAGCCTGGCTTATTTGGGAGAACTCTCATCTCTGGGTCAGAACCTTATGGCTCCCATGTCCTGAGTCAAGTCAGAGGTGCAAATACCCTCAATGAAATAATGCGATCACTTTAATAAGATCTGCCTGTTTGCAACACTTCACATTGAAATGCATTATCCAGCCTGTCGTTTTATTACAAAGGAGAGCCTTTGGAGGCAGACGAGTGACTAATTATTGTGACTTATCTCGGTGCTTCCTCCAAGTTCGCTACACACCCACCACATCCCATGGGACGAAAGGAAAAAACAGCCAAGAACTAATAAGGAATCAGCAGCGTTGCTTAGAAGTTACTTGGCTCAGTCAGTAGCACTCTCGCCTCTGGGTCACAAGGTTGTGGGTTCATGTCCTTGGCGGGACTTCCAGCTCACAGTCCAGATTGACGCTCCACTGGGGGGGAAGCGCTGCATTGTCGGAGGCACTTTCCTTCGGATGAGATGTTTAAACCGAGCTCCTGACAAATCTGTCTGGGCGGATATCAAATATCCTGTAAGAGTATTTGAAAAGAGAAGGGTGGAGTTTCTCCTGGCCAGCCAACAATCCCTCAGACACAATGGTCACCTCGTGGCCATTGGCCACCTTCTGGGATCTTGCTGAAATTGGCTGCCGCGTTTCCCTAGAAATACAATCACCTCATTTGTGAAGGTGTTTTGAGGGTTGCCAGGATTATTATTGTTGTTTCTCACTTTGCTTCCCTGTCGACAATTTGTTGCCTCTCCCCTACAAGCCTGGAATCCCGTCGTTAGAGCACTTGCATCGCAAGTGTTGTAAAATGGTCATTCATTCGGACTCTTGACAAGAGACAAGATCTAAGATACACAAGTTGGAGAAGCCACGGTGAGAGACTTGTGGAAGATCTCCATCACCTATTACTAGTGACAAATGACTTCACTCTTCAGGCGCTTGCCAACTTGCTCTGCCATCTGCTGAGGGATGTGTCTCGCTTCAGGACTATTGAAGGGGAAGAGGGAAAATGTTCTAATCAGATTTTATCCCCTCCCCCACTCCGTGGAGACCTGTAGCCTAGTGGTTAGTGTGCTCACCTCGCAAGCGAGATGACCCAGTTTTGATTCCCGGGCAAGGCAAAACCTTAGGCAAGTTTAATAATAATAATAATCCTTGCATTTGATATAGCGCTTTTCACGTCGGGAGGACGTCCCAAAGCGCTTCACAGAACACACTGTAAAGTGAATTGACTATATTTGTGGGCGAACGCGGCAGCCAATTGCGCACAGCAATGTCCCACAAACAGTCGTGGATTGAAAATGACCAATTTATTATTGTTTTTTGTTTTGGAGGGATTATTATTAGGCTCTGTGTGGAGTAAGGAAACTTGCCCAAGGTTTCGCCCTGACCTGCCTGGGATTGAACTCAGGTCTCTCGCTTGCAAAGCAAGTGCTCTAACCACTGAGCTACAGGACTCCACAAGTAAGTTTCCTTACTCCACACGCCTCTTTTTACCTATCTGTAAGGAGGAACATTTTGCCCACAAAATACACAGTCAATACTTTTTGAAGTATAATCTGTGAAGCGCTTTGAGTCGTCTCAACAGCATGATAAGGGGCTATATCAAATGCAAGGATTATTATTATTATAGCCTGATGGCGCTGACTTTTGTGTGGGAGTGAATGGGTGGGGGGGTATGGTTACATTGGCACGAGCCTCTATTGTGCCCAGATACCTGGCAGAGCTACATGTCTGCGAAAGAGGGGAGAGTCGTGTGTGGGGAGGCGCAATTTACAGGAGAACGTTTCTTTGCACAGAGAGTGATCCACAGCTGGGGTTACCGGGGAGGGCGGTCGAGTTGAGGCCAGGACACTGTGTCCACCAACAGACTGACCGAGACTGAGCCTCGAGTCTCACTTGCCTCACTTGTCTGAGCTAGTGTAAAAGCGCGCCATAGGCTGAGCGCTGAGAACGAATTGTTACCTTCCCATCCATAACGCAGTATGCTGATGCGTTTAATATTTAAGACCGCTTCCAGACTGCAACATAAACATGTCTGATCAACTTCACCCAAATGATCAAAGTCAGGGCAGCCCAAGCCCTCAGATGACCCGACGGAGGTTTTTTCAGGCATTTATTCAGAATAGCCAGGACAATAAACTGCTTTGACAGGGATTGTCAAAGCA